ATATATATATGTATATATCATCTAATTTCTCTGTTTTTAGATATTTACATATCGACCTTACATTTTGTCATATACGTTTATATCGAAAATATGCGGATCTATCTGGGATGACTCAAAACCGCACACTCAATCAGCTAGTCTCACGTGTCAGGAAGGTGGTGCATCTCCGACTGATGAGAGGTAAATCGAGAAATTGAAACGAATCCTCCAGCTCCAAGGTAGTTGATGTGGACCTTCAACAAACAGTTGTTGGGCTTTACAGTCGTCTGATTTCGTGGCCGCCCCGCCACACCCATGAGTCCCGTCATGTATGGCCTAGAATATCCTCGTTGTATCAATGTACTTTTGGGGTACAATGAGTAAATGTATAAAGATCCATTTATATAAATTGGGGGTTCATTTCATGAATTTATTGTTCATTATTGTGCAATTGCTCTCCCCCTCTCTCTCTACATTCCTTTAAGTGCTTCATTCCTTTAGCAAACCTCTCGAACATATTCAAATTCAACAGTAACTTATATATTATCATCTCTATATGAGGAGTTGGGGCTTGTAGAATTAGGATCCGTTTGGGGCAGCTGTAGCTTATCCAGTTTCTGCTGATAAGCAACTGATTCTGATAATCTGCTGATGAGCAGCTGATCCGAATAAGTTGTCTGGCTGTTTGGTTTGTGCGTATAGAAAACAGCTGATTCTAGTTGCTAGTAAATACGAAGAAATATTTTAAAATTTTGATTGATGTTAAAAAATTATTGTGAATTAACTAAAAAATATTATCATTCGTGAATTATGTTTATTAAATATTAATAATTAATTAAAGATTAATTTTAATATAAATCTATGCTAATTATGATTATATTTATATGAAATTCACATAAATTCATTTATTAAAATTGCTAACTTCTAATCAACTAAAATTCGATATAGATAGATTTAATTAGATTCAAAATCAATTTATTAAAAAAAAAATTTAATTCAATTAAATTGATATAATAAGCTAGTATTTAATTAATTTAATAATATAATAATTAAATCATTAACTTAGGCTAATTAGGTTGAATCTATTCCACCCTTATAAATCCTTCAATTTTGAAATATGTAACAAACAATTTACATTTGATTTAATTAGATATTATACTTGTATTGGTAAAACAGAGAATGTTTTATTATTATTATTTTGAAAGATTTACATACATGCCACTTAATTCCTATGTATTTACATATCCAACATTTAAATTTTATTTTTTTACATATACGCACGCATCCGGACTCCTCTATTTTTGTCTTCGCTCTAGCCTTGAATTGCTGGCTGTGAGTAGAATTTTACCCGGAGGTGTTGCTAGCCTATCTCATAAGTGAACCGTAAAGTAATATTGAGAGTTTCGTACTCAATTTAATTGATGATGACTTGAAATCCCACTTTTATCTAGTGGTACAAAAAATTTAAAGTATAATATATTAGGGTCCGTTTGGGGCAGCTTGTGCGTTTCAGGATAAGCTGCTTATCCTAAAATGCGGCCCGCGGGCCGGCCACAGGGGTCGACCTGCGGCCTGCGTTTAGTATAAAAACTTAAACTCGCAGTTTCAGATTAGCTAGAAAAACTCTCGAACCAAACGGTACGGCGGCGTTTTGAAAACGCCGCCCGCACTTATAAGTTGTCCCAAACGGCCTCTTACAGTGAGCCAAAGCCCTACTTTAACTTTGGGGATAAATTTTTAAAAGCACCATCTAATAATTTTGAATTACAGATTTTTATGCCGAACTCTGGTTGCCTCTTCTCACCTCTCCCTCCTCAGGCCATTACAAGCAGGGGCAGATCTAGGTAGGGTTCAATTGTCTCTCTTCAAAATTAGATTTTTACTTGTATATGAGAACAATTTGGTACTTTGTCCTCTAAAATAGCAGTCATGTTCCTCCTGAAATATCATTTCGCCTTTCATTGTCATAGCCTTTGTTGCATTGGGTTCAGGGGGCAGTTTGCCTCCCTCAAAATAAGTGAGTGCAAAGTGTTATTTCAAAAGGGTCAAAATTGATATTTTAGAATTAGCAAAATGCTAAATTGTTCTCGGGTATATAAATAAAAATCTGAATCTGAGAGGATCCATGTCGCAAATTTCGTGAATATTCTTTTCGCCATCCTCTCATTTAATAGCCACTAAAAAAGAGTTATTAGTCGTAGAAAGAGCAGCTAAAGCATGTCTCAGAGAACGGGGAGAGTGAAGACTTCATGGCATAAGGGTCTAAAGTTAAGAGAGTTCTAATATTATAAATTTTTGAATTAAAAAGTGTTTATGTAAATATAATACTTTATGTGGAAATTGTAAATAGGAAAATTTCATGTGCTATGCATGTAAAAACCATTGCAATTAATTAATTTCCTTAATTTATAAATAAATCAAAAAATTTTAATTTTATAATGACTATGTTTAGTTAGATTAAATTCTTCTCCAACGATCCTTTATAATGTTGTGCGTGTCTGTCTCTACTGAGAGTTCCTCCAAAACGCAAACCCGGTAACTCTATGGTGTTGTCTGGCAGCGGATGAGATTTAAGTTATTAGGATTCAGTAAATCCTATAAATTTGGATTTATTGAATTCTAAATAGGTCAAATCTCGAAAGTTGTCTGACAACTGAATTGCTATTGCAGAACAATACTGAAGTAAATTTGGAGTTCAGTTGATTGACAGAAATTTTGAATGTAACATGACCTTATATATGTTATCATTATTATTTACTATTTTATTTTTTTATTAATTCTTCTTTGTTTGATATTGATGTATCGCACCAATACGAAATTTACTCGTGAACGAACTAACATCAGTACAACATGTTGGCACGAGTTCTGATGCTACTCAAAGTTGGCATGTTGGTACCAGTGAAAACCTGAAAAACATTAACATTGGTCAAGAAACAATGACAAGTTATTCAAATGAGAGTTCTAGTCAAAACAATAATCATCATGAATTATCAATTATTGCACGCAATCATCAATCAACATTTTGAAGAGAAAATATAATAAGGTGTTATTCGACACGAATCAATGATATAATAGGGTATAAGATCTCTAATAATAAGTACGTGCGAGCTTGTGAAATCCACATTTTCATTCATAAAATTTTACATTGATATTAATTTGTACATGTTTCTATCCATGTCATTGGAGGTATGAATTTGATTTTTATAATTATTTAAAAACATTATGGTTTAAGTACCAGACCAGGAATAGGAGAAATATTAGGCTACACTAAAAATTAATTTAACTCTTTTGATTGTTATTTATAGATTTAATTAGTATGAGTTTAAAATTTTATATGTTTAATATAATTTTTTGAAAAAAAATGTTTATTATTTTGCTAGAATTTTAATTATGGGGAAATTTTTTTAAAATATATATTGAAGTTAATGCAAAGTTAATTCTCGTATTTTAAAATTGTATGGCTCCGCCATTAAATATATGTTACTTTAACTTATACGTGAAAATAAGTATTTCACTTTTTAAAAGTTAAATTAGCGGTTAACGCCTAATCTGCTTTATCATTTGGCACGAATCATGAGACCTTGTCATGGATCTCAAGCTATTTTCCAAAAAAAAAAAAAATTCCAATTTAAATTGAAAATCATCTGGAGCTTTGATTTCAATAAACATATAGTCAAACTAACTGATTCGATGAGACAAACAAATGATATCAAAATTGATATATTCCAAGTCAAATGAAGCCCAAAGTAAGCCTTTAAATCACTTTTGGAGGCTTCGGTTGGTTATTTTAGGGTTAACTGAACTCTAGATCTGATGTGGTTCGGTCAGATGAGTGTCTGGATAAAAGGAATCCAACGAGTCCAGTATCACTTATTTTGAGGTCATTAAAATCATCAACTCATCAAAAAATCTCTTGTAATCAAGAGGAATCGATGTGGTTGTTTGATCAGGTTGTTAATCTCCAAAAAAGAAAAAATTACATCTTTTATGTCATATAAATAGACATTCTCTCTTCACTTGAGAGGGAAGGATAGAGAAAAAGGCGATCGACGATGGTTGATGTGATTGGCAAGCGATGACCGACTACTTTGGATGTCAGAGTAATAAAGTCTCACGCATACGAAGTAACACATTATTCTAAGTGTTTTGAAATATCCTAAATGTGGTGTAGTGAAGTATTTCGAACATGGCACGACAATGCGCCCTAAATATGGTGTAACGAGATATCCCAAACATAATAAAATAAAAAGGTCGTAACAAAGATCCGACGATAACTTCCAGCAATACTTACAACCGTCATACTCATAATTCGATAACTTTCTTCAAATTTGTGAAGTCTTCTTCTTACAACATAACTGATAAGTGATGTCGCTTTTTGTAATAATAAACACGAGAAAAGACTTGTGACCAGCAACTAGTGTAGCCCCAATTATGGCCTTTATGGACAACTGATGTTATTAAGCTCCCCACTATGACATATGAGGTCAATTGTTATCATCATAATCCTCTATTACGGCCATTATGGCCAATTGATGTTCCAACAACTACATATTATGGCTTATGTGGTCATTTACTACTATAATTGCCCACTACTACGTGTGTGGCCAATAAATGTGACTACAACCTCTCACTATGTCATTTGTAGCCTACTGATGCTTCTGAAGCTACCAAGTACGACCTATGTCGCCAACAACTACTAAGATTTTCAACTATAGCCTCTACGACAAGCTGATGTTATTACAACCATTATCTACAACATTTGTGGTGGACTACTACCTTTGTAGTTATAATCACATACTGAATTATTTTGACTCCGCTAAGCTCCGTAGTTTTTTCACCTTCCAAAGTTTTTCAACATTAGAAGTTTTGTGTCTCCTCTAATTATTTTTTTATTAAAGTTTGATGAATTTTTTTACAATATTTAAATGTTAAATTATCATTCAACTGCCGTAAATCTTCAGGCATGCAACAATGATAGTCCTTTATGTGATATGAAAGATTTGGGTGGTATATATGTTAGAAAAAAAGTTTAGGAATTAGAAATGTAAATACATAAGAATTGAATGGCATGTATGTAAATGCCACATTTCTTATTGATTTATCATCATAAATTTTATCTAATCAAGCATAGATATTAATACAAAGTCATTCAAAACTTATTTGGATTAAATTCAAAATCACCCGACTCTTAAGTGCTTACACTTGAAATGAGTCTCTAAGACTGTCTAAGAGTAGTTGCAGTTGTTTGAAAAAGCGGGTCTAAAGCTGCTTAAGAAGAATCTGTCGTTCAAAAAATTATGTCTGTCGTTAAAAAAATTATGTTAACTATTATAAAATTTTCTTTTTTGAAAAGTCAAACCGTAACTTTATGGCGACAACCACAGGTAGCCATACATCGTGGAAAAACACAATTTTTAGTTTTAGTCATTTGAGAACACATGCAAACACAGTCTTACCAAACAGAAAAAGCTGAGATGTGGCATTACGCCACCACCCCAAACACACCCCCATTCTATAGAGATAAAGTTAATCATATAAGAAGCCCAAACGTAAGTTTAAGCATGAACTCAACATGTGCCCACGAGTCCAATCAAGATCAATCACAATAGCCCACCAAGGAAAAAAAATAATTAATTATTATTTAAATTATAATATTTAAATTTCATAACTATAATATTATGAATACATACTCTCTTTGATGTCAAAAAAATTCAGTTATTATTAATCAATGAATGTGCTTGACATCTTCATCTATTAATGGTTACATACTCTCTTTCTCCCCCCAAAATCTTACTCTTCATTTTGAATGATGAAAATACAAGTCATTGTTAACTATATAAATAGTGTTAACATATACACAATTGTCGCATTATCTCCGATAAATTTATCATGTGAAGTCAACAATGATATTGATTTTTGACATCAATACCAAACCAACATCTATCATTTCCAATCATATTTGTCATATGTTATACTCCAATATTGATACTAATGCTAATTCTTATTGATGTCAATTAACAATATTACACCAAATAAGTCTTAGTTACAAAATACACCCAACCATAATACATGTGCCTTTAAGCACTATTACATAGAGAGAGAGAGAGAGAGAAGAAGAAGAAGAAGAGAGGAGAGATGAGTTAACCAATCAAATTTTGCCACGTGGACCAAGTTGAGGTTTTTCCTGTGGGCCCTTCTTAATCGGGAGAATGTCGCCAGACGCGGTGGAGCTAAGGTAGGCGATGATTAAGGCGCCGCCTATTATAGAGAACCTCAACAACAACCCTCTCTTTGTAAATGGTGCTGCAAATGTCTCGAAGAACTTGCTCTGTTTTTTTTCCAAAATTTAAAAAACAATTATTTAAATTAAATTATGATACTTACAAATTCATCAAAATTTATATGTTTGACATTTGAATGATTATTTACGGTTTCAAATTCGAGAAAAGCATGCATATAAAATATTTTAGCAACATAAAGCCAATTAAACTATAGGGGCATTTACATCGGCAACACCATAAACTCTAATATTTACACGCATAACACTCAAATCTTTAATATCACCACGTAAAAAATAACATTTTCATCGACTTAAAAAATGTAAACACGTCTTCTCATGCATAGATTTGCTACGTCAAACTATTATAAATCTAAATAGGAAAGGTTAGGCATTAGATATGTAAATATAAAAGAATGGCGGGGTATGTTTGTAAATATAACTAATCACCTGGAGTGGATTGTAAGGAGAAGGAGCATCAGAGCCATACAAATCCCATTGACCAGTGGTGTTAGGCAAATCTTCAAGATCAAAGTACACACTCTTCTCACCATATTTGGCCACAACCCTCCCCTTTGCCCTGCAAAACATTTTCTTTTAATTAATAGACGTAAATTTGAAACGGTCTATGGAAAATATTTGTGTTTGTAAGGCGTACGCAGCGTTGCCTACATCGGAGGCTATTCAGAGGGTGAAGTGGGTTATATCCGCGTTATATCTCCTATAACCTCCCTGAAACTTACATGTACCTACCGAAACTACAGAAGCACGGAACTTATTTGTAGGTTACAGGTAGGTTATAGGGGAGTTATAGGGGGTAGAGCTCGGATATAACCCCCTATACACTCTGAATAACCTCCCGACTTTCCCTCTTTTACGATGAAAGTCAGGATTTACTAATAATTTTCAAAGAAGAGAGGGTTTAAAGAGCATATTTTAATGGAGAAAATATTCACAAAAACTAATCTAGAGATTTCATATCAACAAATCAGATTTTGTTCAGATGGAGCTTTTGCAATGGTACCTGAGAGCTAGATTCCGTCGAGTTGGCCGGAGCAGGAGCTCGGTGCCGGAGAACGATCGGACGGCGGCGAGTTTGTTGACGGCTGCGGGTTTAACGACGGTGACGGCGGTGGCAGTCAGGCTGGCCATTTTTTCAGCTCTCTTTACTCGCTGTTTCTCGACTGAGCTCCTTTGTTATCAGAACACTAATAATGGGTTGGATGTGCCGCCACGTGGAGGTTCTTAATTTGGTGGAAATGGCTGCGTTCCATGAAATTGTGACACGTGTCAGGTGGAGGATAAGGTTATCTTGCTAGAGCTAGGTGGGAATTTGCATTCATGTCACACATTTTTTATATTTTTACAAATCCTCCATTTAAAATTTCATATTTATTTTTAGACCTATTCATGCATATATTTTTAATATCAAATTATTATAAACGTGTAAATTTCAATTTTCTAACACTTTTGTATGTAAAAATTTTCTTTTTATTTTTTTGGGCATTTAAATACATACCATCAAATTTTTATTTATTTACATATTCTAAACCTAAGGTTTGATTTCTATTTTTTGATGATTAGGCGAAGAATCGAGGAGATGTGCTTCACGTTATCTTAATGATACAGAACTCCGAGCAACAACTCTTTATGTTTTTCTCAATTGTTATGAGTTTCAACCCTTCCTCGAGTAAGACAGATATTAAAGTAATAGTGGTTGTTCAACTCTATACCTCAAATGTTTTATTCACTTGATTTACAAATTTTTCATTGTATGGGCATGTTATGTATAGATTCGTTGAGTTTATCTGATCAGAGTACTATAAGTAAACAAATTGAAGATGAATTCCCATATTGGTTTAAAGAGCACATAAATTATATTTATTACGCTGCACTTATTATTACATAGCTTAAATCAAATAATAAGAATATAATTGTTCATGTAATTAATGTGTTCATAATTAGAGCAATAGAGTAGCTCCTAATCTGTAGGAAGAAAGACCAGTAAATCTGGTATTTTTGTTTAAGGAAACACTAATTCAGATGACAAAATAAACTATTATGAAATTTTAAAAAGTAATTCAATTGTAATATTCTGGTTAAATTGAAAGAAGTACATTTATATTCAATTGCCACTAGTTTGATCAAATTCCTAATTATGAAACAAGGGTAAATATGTCATATAATATCGTTGAAGTTAAAATGAATATAAAATATGCTAAATTTAATTATTTCATTATAGCAAGACAAATGAGTAAGATAGATTATCATAGATCTCATGGCAGAGTAAAGAAGGAAGTAGATTGAGCAGTAATTATTAAAACCAAACACATAATGACTATTGAGATTCAAAATAATGCTGAACTCATTCATCATACCAAACACATAATGACTATTGAGATTCAAAATAATAACTCATTCATCAGAAAAATTAAAATGACAGATTACTCATGCATTCCATTTGATTATAATGAATAAAGATAAATTTTGAGGATGCTAGTGGAGTGCATGAATATATCACTCATATTGAGTTTGATTCAGGTGATGGTATAGATGAAGAAATTTAAAATCCATTCTCTAGTCTCTGATCTAATGATTAAGAATAAAATTTATACGTAATTTTTACATTTTATTACTTATTACATTTCCTATTTAGGGCTTACTATTTTTTATTTTACTTCTTTTATTTACCTCTTTTACTTCTTTTACTTTAAACTTTTATTTTTCTACTTCTTGTGCTTATTATTTATATTTTGTATACTTCTTTCTTACCTTTTCAGATCAATTATTTAATCTTGAAGTTGATGGCTTCAGGTGGTGGTGATAGTCCCCCTTCTCACAAGGGTATCATTAACATGTTCAAGTGATAAAAGACAGGTGCTACTCGACAAATCACTATATAGGCTAGCACTGTTGTGATATTGACTACGACAAGTTCCACACCCACTTCAGTTCACATGGTAGATTCACACATTGAGACACCGGTGTACCATAGTCTGTCTTGCCACCATACCACCATTACTTCCCACATTTCATGAAAATCCATCTACTTTACTTTTTTGGCAATGTCAGACGTCACGCTATGCATGCACATTGAGCCCATCAGAAATTCATAAGTATTTTAGACATCATAAAATGTTCTTCCACTCATATTTGATTATGCAAATGCATATATATATTTTTATATTTTATCAATCAAGGCAATTCATTCACACTTTTAAGGACATCATAAAAAGTAAGTATGTTGCTAAATACTCATCATGAGATGAGATTCTATTTGCAGTCCAAAACATGTGAATTAGAGAGTTTGAGATAAATCCTAAATAATAATCTTAACTTGTATAAATGCATCCATATAATTGATTGATGTTCTTAATGTAGGAGTTCTCTTGATTACTTGATCATCCTTCATCTACTAGGCAAAGTTTGGGCATAGAGGGATAGCTTGTTTGCATGATGTGCTCATTGACATATACAAGACAAGTTAGAGACCTCTATGGATTGAAGATTATGTTTGGATGAAAGTGTGTAGAGCATGGGTCTCTTTTGACTATGCCAGGAAGAGGGAGCAGTTGAAACATAAGCTGATGGAGGTGGTGATTTGAGGGAGCAGTTGAAACATAAGCTGATGGAGGTGGTAATTTTTTAATGAGATAAATAACTAAAATTTGATATTGAAGTTTGGTGTTAGTTCTAAAAATGTAATATTTAGATTTTGGTAGAATTTTAAAAAAATTATGAGGGAATGATGACTAAAATATCAAAACTAGTCTAAATTATACTAATTTGGGTTGATTTGAAATATCTCTTTAGAAAAATGACTTAACATTGGGTGAATTATTAGAAATGATTATTGGTGGTTAGTTTAGGATGTGTACTTATGATATGGAATTGACTAGTAATTTTGGATGGGTTAACAATAGTATTGAGGGTAAATGAACAAAAACATACCTTAATATGCTCTTACTTGGCTAAGATCTATGAAGACGGGTTTAGAATGGTTGAAAAGTATTTACTATTGGTTTGTTAATATTATAAGAAACTTAGGACCTGGATGAAGAGTGATAAAGAATTTATGAGTGAGTGTTATGGAGGACTAATGAAAAATATAAAACAAAAACAAAGATAAATACTTAATCTCATCAAATACAATGTAACACTTGAAGCCATCAAGCAACAAGTAACAAGAGAAAAAATTCACAGTTAAATTTTAATTCAACAACTGATCTAAGTCATTACATATCAGCTATATTTATAGAGATTACGATGAAAAAAAAAAAAAAATAGAAGGAGAAAATGTTGAGGGGAACGGTAGGTGGGTATTAATGAAGGAATGCGTTAACTACCTTCTAAATTTATTATTTTTTTATGAACAAACATAAAAACCTCCAAATTTTAAAATCTAAACTTTATAGAAACTGAAATTTAAATATAAATAATAAAATATAAATTCAAATATTCATTCTTGATAAAATTTTTGTGATGGGCCTTGAATGAGTTCTTAATTGTATACTTTCTTAGGCTCTTATGGTTCTTGTAAGTCAACCTTTGACTTTAATTGCTTGATAGTTTGAATGCATTTTAGCTTCCATTTAATTTATAATATCTTCTTCATTTTTTGATCATATATCATTCCACTACTTAATTTTACGCCATACAAAATAAGATATTTATTTACAAAAATAACCTTACATTGTTCTGCATTAATTCTCCCTTTTTTCCAGACTTCAGCTTTACCGAATTAAATAGATGAAAATAAGAATATAAAATTTGCATGCAATGTGAGAAAAAATATTAATAAATGTAAAATATAAAATCAAGCCAATATGTAAATTAATTTAGAAAACTACCCCTCTTTTTAAAATAAAGTAAAAGTTATAATATAAGTAATCATTTAAAGTGCTAAACTAGGTCAACAAAACAAATACTAAAATAATAAGAATTATTAACTTTAATAATAATTCTTAACTCCCTTTTGAGTAATGAAAAGCTATGTAGTAGATATTTGGTAAAATAAAAAAGGAAAATACATAAGATGGAAGTTTAAAAAATAAGCCGATTTTCTTCGCTAAGAAAATAAATTAATCACCAAACCCCTTTTCACATGTATAAAAATGATTCCCCCCTAATTTATGAAGAGTGGTGAATTTTATTATAATCATGAAAGCTATGTAGTGGATATGTGGTAAAAAAATAAGAAAAATATACAAGATGCAAGTTTGAATAGCTCACTAAATTTTTTTATTAAGAAATTAAATCACCAAACTATCTTCATATGCATGCAAATGAATCATCATTGAAATCTAATATCTAATTTATAAAAGGGAGAGAAGTTTATTATAATTATAACTTTAATGATTGAGCAATTAGGCAGTTCATGAGAAGAAGACTCCCCTAAAATATCTTATCGTTACATTGCTTCTTCCTAAATTCGCTCTGATACAAAATAAATTGAGGTGAAAAGCCTATTAATGAGATAAAGTGCTATAATTTGCTATTGATGTTTGATGTTAGGTCTAAAGCTCTAATGTGTAGGTTTTAGTAGAATGTTAAAAGATTTAAGAGGGAATGATGACTAAAATATTTAGACTAGTCTAGATTAATCTAGCTTGGGCTATGTTGAAATATCTATTTGGAAAAGTGTCTTATGACTGGGCAAATGACTAGAAATAATTACTGGGGTTTAGCTTAGGATGTATAATTATGGTCTAGAGTTGAGGAGCGGTTTTAGATGGGTTTGCAATGGTGTTGATGATTAGTGAACAAAATCAAGCCTTAATATGCCATTGTTTGGCCAAGACCTATGAAAAGGGGTTTGGAATGGTTGTGAGACTTACGTTGTTGGTTTATTTATATTATAAGAAGCTTAGGAACGTAGATGAAGGGTGGTGAAAAATTTTAAAACAAATGTTATGGAGTATTATTAAATAATTTAAAGGAAAAGTAAAGATTAATATCTAATATTACCAAAGAAAAAACAACACTTGAAGCCACAAAACACCAAGAAATAAGAGAGAAAATTCTCACTCAAATATCTCATTCAAAAAATGATCAATTTCATTCCATATCAACTGTATTTATAGAGATTACAATTATAAAAATTCAAAAAAATGAGAAGAAAAGTATGAAGGGAATGGTAGGTGGTTATTAACAGAGGAATGTGATAACCACATTAGTCAGACCGCCGATGG